TTTATACTTATAGCAGTGGTTTCCAAGCAGTTTTTGACCGCGCTCCCCAGCTCTAATAAAAAAATTGTTGCGCCCCTTCTTAATTTTTTTAACAGTGTAATTATATAAATTACTCAAATGATATCAGACTACAAATTAATATGCAATATTATTTAATATTGCATAAAAACTAATTATTTTTTAATATCATTTAAAAAATGTTGGGTTATTTTCGATAATAGCATTCTGGCAACAAATGTACGCGCTTTCCTGAAGGATCACGCTCCACAGGTTGGGAACCGCTAAATTTTAATAGTGAGACGGTTTCTTCAATAAATTTTGAAAAATTTTAGAAAACAAAGTATGAATCTTATAAAAACATAATAATAATTATATACAATGAAATACTTGGCATAATTGCTGACATTGATTTTAGTTGCGTAATTATTATTAATATGTACTTAAATCAATGTTAATTCGTGTTTTTTCACAACATTGTATTAGTAAATGAATATTATGGATTGTAACGAGTTGAATTATATTTTCCAAGATCAAGTACTCAACTACGAGTTGCATTCAAGTCGCCATTTCTCTTAATACGAACCAGTTTTAATATAATTTCACAGTAAAATTTCACTTTAAAGAGATACTGACCACAATCATAATAGACAAAATGTTAATTACATGAACGGATATAATCTGTGTAAGCATTATTATGATACATATATAATTAAAATATTTTTCATTTACTGCCTCTATTTTTATTAACTTTATGTTTTCACAAAAAAAAACCTGGCCTGGCTAATTTTGTGCTCTTCGTTTGACCAATTTTTAGAAAAATATGGCTCCCTATTTTTGACCTTTCGGCGACTCAAAAACGGATGCTCCAATTTCAAAAATTTAAAACTCATTCGTACTCACTAAGCTCTCTAAGCCGTTTCCTTCTTAATAAGCAGAAGAATGTAAAAAAAATTTCCAAGTTTGAGCCAAGAATTCTGAATCAATTTCAAAAATTCAAAAACTGTTTGAAAATTTGAATCAAAAATTCTCTGTGAACTATGGTGATTTTGGTAAAGATCGACAGGGGTGTTTGGACGTTGATCCTGAAAGTAATTTACCTAGAAAAATTAGTCATAAATCTCAACAAAACATAAATATATTCTACCTCAAATTGTTCGCGAAACAATAATCATAACAAATAATTAATTTATATGTACTTTATGTTACGTAGTTATGGAATTTATGAAAATTCTCCTTCGATAATTCAGGTTGTTGGGTTATAACTTAACCCTTGTAGCTGTGGACTGTATTAAAGACTGATTTGTTTGTATATTATGTATTTGTTGCAGTTCTAATTACAATCACTGATTTGTTACTAAGTTATAAATAAAGAAAGATATATTTATTAGTTATTTACTATACATGTATGTTATTTCGCGGACTTTAAGAAGTGAACAACTAGTTCAATTAAAACATTCCGCTACAACCTCTACCAGGGGTAGCAACCATTCCGTGTAAAGCTGAATGCCCTGAAGTTTGTCACCTTCGTGGCCAATATAATAAAACGAAAAGACGTCCGAATAATATATCATTCGATATTTTTTGTGTAACTTTTTACAGATTTTTTTTTATTTTGTATATCTATTGTATTTACCGCGCTACATTACTTAATTCTATTCGTATCAATATTAATGTAGTGTTCTATGGGCACATCATAATCGACTTGATCTAATATCTGAATGAGTACATTATAAAGTAGGCGTACTTTCGATTATTATATTATATAGGTGTAGGAAACATTATTCAATAATGGATGATTGCTCGTGAGAACGCCAAGTCATTTATATTGCACAGGAATTCACTAGCAGAAACGATAAATTATCAACTGCATCAACTTTGAAGAATTGAATTCTGATCTTTCTTTCGGAATAATCGAAAGATAACTTTCTAATGGAATCAAATAGTTTGGATTAAATTCATATAAGATTGTCAAATATCTCCCTTTCGCCTTTTTGTATTATAAACCAAGAGCAAAAAAGCGGAAGGGAGATATTTGACAACCTAATATTATTTTATGTTTATTATATAGAGATATTTTCACTATCGAGAAAATTCAACAAATTTATCTGTACTAGGTGTAAGTGGCATTTATCTTTAAGTCATTACGGTTAGAACTTGTGACAATTCAATTTGAGGATCATTAATCCAAACTTGGAATTTTTACAATGAAACCACTGGCCGCAGGCCTATAATATTTTAGTACTAACTTCCCGAAGGATAAGTCTAATACTGAACTAAATTAATCTCCCATTGTTTTTTCAAACGTGGCGGCATGTTCGAGCCTCACAAATTTATTAATCTCTCTCTACCTGACATAATAAAATAATTTCCTACCCTACTGTAGGTATTATAAGCTAGTTATAAGAAATTATTCATTCTGTACGTATACCTTGACCTGATAACATCTAATACAATTTACTAAAATTAAATACAGTACATTTCTATAAAATAATTCTGAACTAGTTATTATTTTCCATTCAGTTCTATGTTATTTCAGGTCTGATATAGCCTTTTTGATAATTAATTATATCTGGTTCTTCGAGATAGTAAAGTGTCCGTGTGTAGTGATTTTTAATTGACTTTTTTAATAAACATTGTGCCGGGCGTCTTCAGTTTTCATAAAAAAATCCGATTCGCTAATTTTATGTTTTCTCGACGTTTCAAGTCATTCTGAATCGCATGAGACCAAATTTGGAAAAAGTATGTGTGTTTGTGTGAACAGATTTTTTGCCGTAAATCGACGTTTTCTCAAAAATGGCTGAAGCGACTTCAAAAATTTAAAAGTCATGCGATGTATCTCGATGAGGACTATCGTTTATCAATTTTGCGCGATGATCAGCAAGCCGTTTCTTCCTCGTTTTAGCTCTCAATTCTGAATCGATTTAAAAAAATCAAAAACTGTTCAAAAACATAATTAACAGTTTTCGTTTCGTAACCGGCAAGCTGCACCAGCTTCTGGGACGCTAAAGTTCACAAATGCAATGCTGGGTAAGAACTTACATGTAACAATACAAAATCTATAAAATTCGATTAAATGTTAAATGTTACCCATTTTTTAATTAAAAACAACTTGTCATTATTCAAATGACTCATGTGCAAATCAGAATAGTCTCAATCTTTTGTTAATTTCAAATAATCTGTATATTCAAGTTCCAACATGGTGCTTTGATCCTTCTGCAATAGTATGCAGTTATATTTCCTTGTATGGCATAATAGAAATTGTAAATTGTGTTTCGACACAAAGAGCTTGGAATAATTATGATCGGGGATTTATTAATTTATATTCGCTCTGATCACAACATGAATTTCTAATTCATAACACACTTCCTTGATATGAAATTAAAGAAGATATTGCTTTAGTTTTATGTAAGTATGCATGTAAGATTTATCAAGATATTATGTAAAATCTTAGATCAGCTTTCTAAATTGAAAAAAGTATTAAAATGATCAATATGCTTAGCTGCACTGGATATATATACTTAAAATTTGAAATCATTTATTGACTACACTAAATCTGGCCATTAATTCAAAAACTACATAAGTCATCTCAAAGCTGATGCTATTGTTGTTTAATCTTGAAAACTATTCTGAAAATATTTTGTTTTCTTCGAAATGCTATTGCATAGTGAAAGTAAATAGAACTGACCGTGTGATAAATAAACTGTTTGCAAGTGAAATGAATCACTTTCAATTATATATACTCGCAATCTGCACGCCTGTTTGGAAAATCTCGATCATCAAAGTTATAAAGCAGTTAAAAAAATCTGGAGGAATACATAGAAATATCTATATAAGACCACTGAGTAGTTTTGCGTAGATTATTATTCTGCTAGTTAAAATCACAACTTATGTTTAATATAAAAAGCATCGGTATTAGAGAAAACTAATAAATACATCAAATAGAGACATGCCGACCATTGGGTTGCCTTCAGAAAAAGGTCACATAATTAAAAAAAGTCATTAAAACAGCTTATTGCACTCGTAATCTGGAAAAAAATATTAAAAGTATTTTATGTATTTATGAAGATAGTCTGTATTTTTGTATTTACCATTACAATCTGTTTTTACAGAAGAAACCTTCAGTTATTTTAGGATAAATGTAAATTATCAAACTAGTTCTGAAAGGTTACCCAGCCTTTTCGATTTTTATAAAATAAATTAAACTATGCAGTCATATGAAGTAAAATTGAAATAAAACATAAGTAAAATTAATAAATATAAGCAATAGGTAATTAAAAATAATAATAATTGTAGTTTGAATAAATATTTATAAAGGATTGTTGTCAGTGTTCAAATTGATTAAACAAATTAATTTTAGGCTGAACTTATATTTTCTCTTCGGATCTTAATTAACTGATGAACTAAATAGTTAATAGCCCACAAAGAATCCTCAAATATATCTCTGCATTTTAAAAATTATTTTTGCAAACAATCTATTTGTGACTGTATTGTATTGTATAAACTCTATGAAACAAAGTTGGAATAGGTTTTTTAGATTCTTGACTATTAAATTAAATTTGAACTAGTAAATCATGTAATGTGCCAGAAATTACAAATATATTATCTCGACAGAGCTTTTCGCTTTCTCTATAGTTGATTATTTAAGTGCAGTTTTTTTTTTATTATTTATCCACGTGTTATAATATATCAGTTGATATAGATGATTTTCTTTGCTTTGTAAAGAATTCATTTAGAATGCATTATAATAAATAAAACTATCCATGAAGTATCTATCAAATAGTACAATAGTGGTAATAGTTAATTAAAATATTCTTACATAAAATAAATTAAATAAACGAATAACTCTCTAAGAATTGCATAGCATATCACAAAATAAAGTAAGATATACATATAATTATATCTTAAATGGCATCATTATGTCAATATCAAAATAATAATCCATCCTTGTTTCATCTATAACAATCAAAATAAATTTCAAATCTCTTATCATATTTTCCAAATTATTTTGTATGACGCTTCATATGGCATGTGAGCGAAGATTTTTTACTAAATTTTTTATTACAAACTTCACAAGCAAATGGCTTATATCCTGAATGACTATAAGAATGTTGCACTAATGCCAATTTTGTTCGGAATTGTTTGTCACAAATTTCACAAACAAATGGTTTTATCTCAGAATGTATTCGTAAATGGGCTCTTAAATTATCTGCTGCAGAAAAACATTTTCCGCATGTATCACATAAATGGACCTGCTCTTTTGTGTGACTATTTACATGCAAAAATAAATCTCTTTTTTTATTAAAAGTCAGACTGCAAATTTTGCATTTATACAAACTACCATATAATTCTTCTGTTTCTCCATGCACATTAGCTTTATGACTCTCCAAGCTAAAAATGTTTGAATAACTTTTACCGCATTCTTCACATATACATATTTCCTTTTCTTTGTGTGATACAGTATGTTGATACAATGATTTTTTGTCATTTGAAACCTTTCCACAAATTTTACAGGTGAGTTTCTTAGTTTTACAATCATTGTTCGAAGTCATATGTTCTTTTAACTTTTCGTAACATGAGAATCTATTTCGACAGTGCATGCACATGAATGTTGATGTGGCTTTTATTTCAATTACTTTTCTAATATTTTTTTTGGGTGAAATTGTTGACTTTTTCTTATTTATAGTGTCTTTTCCATTTTCATTTTTGTTTTTAGCAATTTCACCACTACTGTCTTTTGATACCTTCTGATTTTCGGTACTAATGCTTTCTTCAGTAGGAATAGGATCACATTCATCAATAAAATCAGTTTTATCATTTTCTGGAAAGTAAATTATATTTTTGTAAGACGTAATTTTTTTCAGTACAACTCCTGTCTCTGTTTCATCTGCTTGTGATTGAGTATCTCTATTTAATGAAGTATCACAAACATTTGAAATTTTCTCAATATGTAATCCTTCAATTTGTGATAAGTTTTGTATCACGTCATCAGCTGTAAGTTCATTCATAGTTTTATTATTATTACTTTCTTGTATAAAAGATTTAATGTTATGTGTATCCAAATCTAAACATTTCTGAAAATATTCATTGGCATCGCACACAGTTTTGCTGAATTTGGATATCATTACCATTTTCGAATTGCAAGAATCACACATCAGTTTAGGTAATTTGTCATTTTCTAAGATCTTATTTGGTAATAGTTTATTTATTATTCCTGATAGATTTTGAGTGAATATATCAAATGTTACGTTCTGTTTACTCAAGCATAGTCTACACATATCAAGATAATCGAGGTCCATTTTTTTAAAAGAAGTATTCGTCTAGAGTAAAAGTATTCGTTCTAAAAAAACTTATAATTAATAGTTCTATACAAACAATATTAAAATTTGAAATGTAGGTGCCGATGCAATCAATCGGCATTCATTACATACGCATTTGATGTCACATGATATTTGAAAAATATTAAGAAAATCGTTTACAACATGTTATTGATAATTACAATAAATATCCTAAATCGAAAATACAAATTTAAAATAAAATAGAAAATACCAGAAACGTCAACTAATAACCTAACTTAACATAACCTAAAAGTTTTGACATACTCCCAAGAATAACGTAAATTCAATAATGGCCGACGAATTTCAAATTTGAAAGATTATCTTGGTGAATTCTTTCTAAACAATCAAGTTTAATAATCATATTATTCATCATTATTAAATGCGACTAACAAGCAAGTTAAAAAAAACTTTCCGAAATTTGTCGTAATAATTTATTTAATAATAATTGAAATTTGGTAATTTGCATAAAACTATCAACTAGTTCAATTTGTAACAAAATTCAAAGATTCAATTTCATATTTTTATTCAAATTTACAGGAAATAGACCAGGGTGCTAAAATCGGTTATCTGAGAATTAATAATTTATGATTATGAAATGATATGTTATTACATTAACCGCAATATTTGAAAATGAAATATTTGCTTCTATTAAGTTGGCTATACGTCCCGGTTTAGCCGGGAGAGTCCCGGATTTCCACCTTGTGTCCCGGATGTTGAAATATTGCAACATTGGCAATATTGGTTCCGGATGTTGAAAAGTTTGGGTTTAAACTTTGCATACTTATTTGATAATAAAACTAGTGGTGTTTATGGCATCGTGCCTTAAGGCAATTTGCTGGAACTTCCCGTACCAAAAATTAAATTTTATAAAAAAAAATTAAAATCTTTTTAGACTCTGAAAAATTTAGTTTTTTGAGAAGTTTTAAATTTTTGAAAAAAAATACTTTTTAGGAAAAAGAAATACTTTTGAAAAACTGTTTGTTTTTATTATGAAATATTTTGGAAATTTTGAACTTTTTTTTTCAAAGCAATCGCTCTGCTTTAGCTGCATTGAGACGAAATACCAACCCGCGTCTTAAAATCTCAATGAAGTATCTGATGATAATTTAATGTGCAATTTTTTGCAAATGGCATTTTTTACCTTTTTTTAATAGATCTCCGAAACCGCTACACCTGCTTTTCCAAAAATTTAATCAGTTCTTCATCTTGTCAATACAAGTAAAATGTTTCACTTTTTGCGCCGTATTTTCGGAACGGCTAGACCTGCATTCGCCAAAAACTAATCAGCATGTCTTCTTATCAATACAAATCGAATGTTTTTTGAATTAATCAAATCGGTTAATCGGTGTTTCCGAAATCGTCGACAAAAAATTGTATCCGCACACACACATATATCCATTTTTTTCTAAGGTATGCCAAAATATTCAGAAACCTTTGAAACGCAAAGATATTTAAAAATTTTCAATTTCGATTTTTTGCGATTACTACAACTTACCCTATGGAAAATTAATTACAACTACCCATCAAATATCTGAAAATAATATAAATGACGAATATGCTTATATTAAACAGTTTGTTATGAATGGAAAAATTGTCGAATTCAAAATTCCGAAGGGTTAAAATAGCATCTCACATAATAATAATTTCACATAATAGTAACTTCCATTTAGACGAAAGTTACCAAAAATTATGATGACGAATTTTTCGACTGTCTGGCACAAGAGCTTATTTTTACTAATAGTAAGTTAATTATGAAGAAAATTTAACAAAATTTAATACATGGTTCAAAAACGAAAAAACTATATATTTATAGAAAGGAATAAATATAAATAGAATAATATGAATAAAATATAAGTAAAACTTAAATATAATATTTGTTACTTTAAATTATATTCAGTCATTTAGCATAAATAGTAGTCTATATCGAAAAACTTCGATATAGGCTCAACAAACGCCAACCGGTGGGCAACAACATCCGCATTTTATAAACAATTCATTGTACAATAAATTGGTTCGTGCTATAAATTTTACTTTTCCTACATGAATTTTATAGTGGAATTGTGTTTTTTTTAATAAAACTGTGCAATAATAAAAACAATTGAATATTGTGCGGATATACGAATATGCATATTTGTAGCGAATCGTGCAGAAAGCGATTGTGGATTGATCATTGCAAATTTTCCGACAAGCAAAATCTGTTCCGTATGACGGAATCATTTAAATGATACCTTCGAGAGATTACCGTTGAAATGAAAGTAAAATGGGTGCAGCGTACGTAACGACCTACCATATAAACAACATCGCACGGCATAATCAAAGATTACCTGATTTGCAAAACAATATAATTAAACGCATTGAATGCCGAATGAAAAATTACTATATAGCAATAGTAAAAATGGGTTGAATGCTTATTAATACTTCAAGTCATCTTGAAACTTTTGAGACCATTATGAAAAAAAGTATGAGTATGCGTGGCTAAACTTCCATGTTTTGGTACAAATTCCTGAACCGGGCTTAAAAATTCAGTGTCTGCTCAAAATGGTAAAGATCTTCGGGGCCGTTTGTTCATAATTGATATTTGGATTTTTGTCGATGATTATCATAATACTTTATGATAACCATCTTTGAAGAACCTATTACCTATATTAAAAATTACTAAAAATAGTTACGATAAGTGTCTCGCCCATACGTAAGCTGTTAAGAGCGACGGGACTTGTTTCAGAGGTCCCGGGTTCGATACCTACTTCGAGCAGCCTGTTGTCAGGCAACAGTGACAACGATTTTCACTTGGAAATAAAAATAGCAATATGTTTCCAAGTGAAAATAGCCCTCACCCAGCATTCTTGCACCATTCTTGCCCTATTACAGAGATTGTAATAAAAAATTATCATACAGGGATGTGACAACTGTTTGGGTTGCCATCTGTAATAAAACAAACGTAGTTTGTAAGAGATTCATCACAACAGCTTATAGAACACATAAGTTCTGATCGCTGTTCGAATAAAATTTAAAATAAAAATAAAATAAAAAATTGATGTGATATGATTTTTAAATTTATAAATGTTAGGATTCCTAACTTAGTAATAATCATAAGAGTTACAAGCTCTCATCGACATTTTTCTAAAAAACGGGCGAACCAATTTTAGAAAATTAAAAACCATCCATCTGATGAGGTTCAAAAAAAATACTAACGATAATTAGTTTTAGGAGAAGATCGCCCGTTTCTTTAGAATTAGCAGAAAACTGCTAGATATTTCGTTCTCATTTTTGCGAAAGATCATGAACCGATTTTGAAAGATTAAAAACTATTCCAAAGATATTCGTTAAGAATTATGCTGATTAGATTTTGCAAAAGTAATCAATATGTTAATTGTAATTTTGTTATTTTTTTTTCGTTTTCAACATGGCTATAGAATTTAAGGTCTATTCTAATATATACTACTTCTATGGAAAAAATTATAAAAAATTATTAAAGTATGAAATAATGGACATTTTATGGCATACAAATATAGGGTCCGCCAAATATTTTTTTTTTTGAAAATGCTATAAAAAACTACTGGATATTTTTTAAAATTTCTTTTTTTATTAGAAAGTACAATTCTTCCAGTTAATAATGGACCAACTTTTTTTGAAAACGCTCAAATGGCTGTCTAACACTTAAATGGCTGCGAAAAAAATCTAAATGGCTCCCAAAAAAAAATAGATGGCGGACCCTTTACAAGCATGTATTTTTGCACTGTAATTAATACAATTACAAATATTTTAAGTTTGAAGAAACATATCGATTAAAAATCGCATTGTTTAGTTTTTAGTCTAATTAGTTAAATCCTAAATTCTAAATCAAAATTTTTATTGATTTTGTCGACAAAGATTTACTGCACTCGGTAGGTTTTTCTAAATTTGCTCATGGCATTTTATAGAATTAAATGTATATTCTTAATTAATTTATAAGTTGATAAGAAACTTCTAAAGCAACAACAATAGCAAACAATACTCAAATCTAGCTTCCTTATAGAATTAAATGTATATTCTTAATTAACTTATAAGTTGATAAGAAACTTCTAAAGCAACAACAATAGCTGCACAGCTCAGGTTTGCCAAATTGTACACATATTCAGTAAAAGATATTTACACTTACAAAACTGATCTAGATGAAGAGCTAGAGATATAAGGGGGCATCCATTAATCACGTGAGCGAGTTTTTAAGGAGTTTTGGACCCCCCCTTGGTGATACATGGTAATATTCAAAATTACCCCCTCTGCCCCACCAAACATCACGTGTATTTTTAGTTACGTGATAAAACTGTATTTTTTTTATTTTTTTTGTTGAAAATATTTGATTTTTTTTAAATCAGTTAAAAAATAAATACACGTGATATCTTACTATACCCCTCCCTCCCCCAAGTGATATTTCGTGATTTTTTGTCAGACCCCTCTCCCCCTTAAAACCCCACGTGGTTAATGGATCTAAGTTAATTAATGCCCCCTACCTTTATAATGATTATATTTTATTGAAATTATTTCAGAGAACTACATCGTTAGTGCTTCTATTATCATGCTGGGCATTGTGCGAGGAAGCCAAACAAGTAGCGCCGGCGAATGGAAAAAGTCAGGAAAAGCGCGGAGTTGCGGAAACCTCGTCGCCACCGCTCGGTTACGCAGGCCAAGGTAACTCGAAGAAAAACTGTTTAAAAGATCACAACGAATGCTAGATAGAAAATAGTTCAGTAGTGATAGTCGACGATCGCCTTCGATCTCCGCCTTACCTTACAATTAATTACAAGAGGTTAGAAATAATAATGAGACCATCTTTGTTGCCCCAATAATTCTGATTCTTTATGATCGATTTTATGTAATTTTAAAGGAACTTGGAAAATTGCTGGAACGTCCCGTACCGAAAACTAAGTTATTAAAAAAAAATTTCGCAAAACTTGGAAAAAATTGAATTTTTGAGAAATTTTGAAATTTTTGAAAAAATTTGAATTTTCTGAAAAAATTGATTTTTTAATATTTTGATTTTCTTTGTATTTCGATTTATTTTGAAAATTTTGAACATTTTTTTTAAGCAATCGCACTGCATTTGGATTCGAAATATCAAAAGCGCGTGAGCGCCGCGTAGTCGTCTAACGCGTTAACATTGGTACGGAACCCATATAAATGTACACAAAATTTGTACATATTATTATAATCTTTATAAAAAATCTGATAATATGATGTAAATATATCTAATATTCAGTTTTGACCCACAAATGGCATTATTTTTCACTTTTTAACTTCCCGAAGGAGAAGTTTATGTTTTCATAAAAAATCCGATGCGCTAATTTTATGTTTTCTCGACGTTTCAAGCCATTCTGAATCGAATGAGACCAAATTTGGAAAAAGTATGTGTGTGTGTGTATGTGTATGTGAACAGATTTTTTGCCGTAAATCGACGATTTCTCAGAAACGGCTAGACCGATTTCAAAAATTTAAAAGCCATTCGATGTATCTCGACGAGGACTAGAGTTTTATGCGACAATCGGCCGAGCCGTTTCATTGTAAATTGCAGAAAAGTGAAAAAAATTTCGTCTACGTTTTAGCTCGCAATTCTGAATCGATTTTGAAAATTCAAAAACCGTTCGAAAGATATTGGTTGGCAATCGTGCTGATTAGTTTTTGGAGAAGATCCGCCGGGCCGTTTTCTTGTAATAAAGTGTTAAAAAAAAATTTTGACGAATTTTATGATTATTTTTTTGACGGTAGATACCATAGTCTTCTAGATCATACTAAAATATTACGGCCCTACGACAATTCGTTTAGCTTTAAAAATTCGTCAAAGTTTGCAAAAATTAGTATCGTTTTTTAGGCATTTGTCAAAATTAGACCTTTCATCGACGATTGCTCAAAAATGCCTGAACCGATTTCAGAAATTTAACTAGCTGTAAGTGGAATTCTGTCTTAAGGCAATTAGGGCATCGTGCCTTAAGGCAAATTGCTGGAACTTCCCGTACCAAAAATTATTATTATTTTTTAAAACGATTAACATTTTTGAAAAAAAATTAGTTTTAAAAAATAAGATTTTTGAGAAACTATGAATTGGACAAAAAATTAGTTTTTTTTGAAAAAAAAAATATTTTAAAAAAATTTTTTTTTTATTTTTTTTTTTTTTTTTGAAAAAAATTTTTTTTTCTTTATTTTGACATATTGTGGAAGATCGGAATTTTTTTTTAAAGCAATCGTACTGCTTTAACTACCTAGGAACAAAATATAAAGCGCGTAAGCGCCGCGTCGCTGTCTAACGCATAAGCATTGGTACGGAACCGATAGGAATGTTAACAAAATGTATACTTATTGTTAAAATCTCTATAAAATGTCTGATAATTTGATGTGCATATGTCTAATGATCATTTTTGACCGCCAAATGGCTCATTTTTTTACTTTTTCCTCTATATCTCCGAAACCGCTGGACCTACCTTCATGAAAGTTGTATCGATTCTTCATCTTGTCAATACAAATAAAATGTTTTTTGAATTATTAAAATCGGACGCTCCGTTCTCTTAAAAACTGAGTTACCGTTTTCGGAACTTTTTACCCCGTATCTTCGGAACGGCTTGACCTGCCTTTGCCAAAAACTAATCAGCACGTCTCCTTATCAATACGGATCGAATGTTTTTGAATTATTCAAATCGGTTGATCCGTGTTCCCGAAATCGTCGACGAAAATTTGTATCCGCACATACATACACACACATACATACATACACACACACATACACACACACACACACACACACACACACACATACATCCATTTTTTCTAAGGTATGCCAAAATGTTCAGAAACCTCTGAAACGTAAAGATATATAAAAATTTTCATTTTCGATTTTTTTGCGATTACTATAACTTGCCCTACGGGAAGTTAAAAACCATTTGATGTGTCTCAATGAGGACTATCGCTTGTCACTTTTGTGCGACGATCGGCCGAGCCGTTTCTTTGAAATTTGGAAAAAAGTGTTAAACTTTTCGTCCACATTCAAGCTCATTCTACCGAATCGATTTTAAAAAATCAAGAACTGTTCAAAAGATATTAGTTATTGAAAGATACTGATCAGTTTTATGTGAAAATCTACAGAGCCGTTTTCTAACTATAGTCCTCATCGAGATACATCAAATGGCTTTTAAATTTATGAAATCGGTTCAGGCGTTTTTGAGAAAACGTCAATCAAAGGTCTAATTTTGACAAATGCCAAAATAACGATACTAATTTTTGCAAACTTTGACGAATTTTTAAAATCAAACGACTTGTCGTAGGGCCGTAATATTTTAGTATGATCTACAAAACTATGATATCTACAATCAAAAAAAATTATAAATATCGTCAATTTTTTTTCAAGAAAAACTTTATTACAAGAAAACGGCCCGGCCGATCTTTACCAAAAACTAATCAGCACGATTTCCAATAATATCTTTCGAACGGTTTTTGAATTTTCAAAATCGATTCAGAATTGCGGGCTAAAACGTGAATGAATTTTTTTTCACTTTTTTGCTATTTACAAAGAAACGTCTCGGCCGATTGTCCCACAAAACTGATAAACGATAGACCTCATCAAGATACATCAAATGGCTTTTAAATTTTTGAAATCGGCCCAGCCGTTTTTGAGAAAACGTCGATTTACGGCAAAAAATCTGTTCACATACACACACACGCACATACTTTTTCCAAATTTGGTCTCATTCGATTCAGAATGGCTTGAACCGTCGAGAAAACAAAATTAGCAAGTCGGATTTTTTTATGAAAACATAAACTTCTCCTTCGGGAAGTGCCAAACTATTAAAAATTGAATTAACTCTTCATCTGTAAAAAAATAGGAACCCTTCGTAGGTGAGATGCATGCAAATTCAGACAAATTTTGGAAAACAACCCTTCAAAAAAAAAATTTAGCCGCAGATAATGTAAAATATATCACAGACGGAAGAATATAAAAATCAGTTTATTCAATAATTAATTACGTGTTTCTTATTTTTTAGCCAGTACATCACCTGTAGGACACACTTCCGAACCATTTGGCACAGCCAGCACGCCAGCGGCCTATGCTCAAGGAACCTCGAAAGCCACAACAATAGCTGCTGCACAGGTTTGGCGAATTACACACATATTCATTAATAAATCACTACAAATTTCACAAGATATTTACACATGTAAATTACAACAAATCACACATTAATTAGTTTTGAACTTAATTACGAACCACTATAAACAGTTTTCCGTTTACACTGATGTACAAACGTATTTACATCTTTTGCTTTCGAGGCATTGCTAGGTTTTACATACATTTAGGTGCAACGAAAGATAAAATGGTTTTACTGAATCAAAGTACTAAATACCGAATAAAATATTATTATCGTGTTCGATTGAATAACGGTACAAATTCATCGGCCCAATACTTGCAAATGCGCAATGCACGTGTTTGAAGGTGTCACATATAAGTTGTCAGTCAAAATGGCGTCATATTGTCAGTCAGAATTACCACCACTAAAAATATTATTTTTCAAACTAACTTTTTTAAGAAAAAAAAATGGACAATTATTCATCCAAGTACATTTTAGGCGTCTTTAAACAAAATAATAAACACATAACTAAAAGTTTACTTTTAAGGGTTGCAGTCATTAGATAATCTATTTACATTGAAATATTCCTATTTATTGAGATGTCTCTTGAAATTGTTAGTTAAGCACAGTTAAGCGTTTATTTTGAAAATATTACATATATGATATCAACTTACCCAGCAGATAATAAATTACAGATAACTCCCGTACAACAAGGTAGTTACTTCCTGAAAACTAGCGTGTTATGCAAATCCGTGTTATAAGGGACAAAGAACTAGTAAAAACAGGGGTTACATTCCAAGAATTCAAAAAAACATAATATCATGATTTTTAATATTCTCGTCCTTTGAGCAGTTTTCTATACTATTTCCAAATCCGTGCATTATTTTTTGAAAATAAAATTATATTTGCGATTACTTGCTTTTAGCAAAATGATATTTATATATTTAACACATGTAAAGTAATCGTTATTAAACTTTTATGTTCATTCTATTTAAAGAATTATTTTATATATCATTATTATCTTTAATATTTTTAATATATTATAGATAATCCTAGAATTTTTTTCGATAGAACGTACGCGCTCTAATAAAATATATATCAAATTATATGTTTTGCACTCGTTTTATCATATTTATTGAGCTATTGTACGATTGTAGTAATTCTAAATTAAATGAAGTTTGCTTTTCATAGGTTTTACTATATTTCTTATTTTATTAAATCTTTCCTCAATTCTTAAACCGTGTTATGCTAACCCGAAAGTACCGTGTTATGAGGGGGGTAGTCTCAATCCTTAAACCGTGTTAGAGCGAATCCGTGTTATAAAAGTACCGTGTTATGCGGAAGTTATCTGTATAGCATTATTAACAAAAAGAAAGTAATTATAACTTTAGTATGGAAGCAATGCTGTTTGAAAATATAGTATAGAACTTGTAAATATCCGACCTTTCTAATATTATTTTATGGCGTAATTTTTTCAATGATTTTTAAATATTAAAGAAATAAACTCACAAGACAGATTTATTAAAGCTTCAACATAGGCGAAGAGTTTATTTTAAAAATATTACATGAAATCAAGTTATCCAACAGATTAAAAAAAAATTATAGGATTGCTAATAAAAAAAAAATAGTTATAACTTCAGTATGAATGCAATGCTGTTTAAAAACACTATAAAACTTGTAAATATCCGACCTTTATAATATTGTTTTACGGCGTAAATTTTTTAATGCCTTTTTAATATTAAAGAAATAAACTCACAAAACAGATTTATTACAGCTTCAAGAGGGCGAAGAGTTAATTTTGAAAATATTACATGAAATCAAGTTAACCAACAAATTAAAAAAAAATAGGATTGCTATAAAAAAAAATTAGTTATAACTTCAGTATGGATGCTATCATCAATAAATAAGCATGGATGCAATGCTGTTTGAAAATAGTATTAAACTTGTAAATATATAACCTTTATAATATTTTTTATGATATAATTTGTTTAATAGTTCTTTTCTGATATTAAAGAAATAAACTCACAAAAACAAATATTTTACAACTTTTATACGTGGAAAAATACTATAATGACAAAAACTTGGAATAATTTGAATATGTTCCTATAGTCAGCATATGGTTATATGAATTAAATTGATTAATAATATTTTCAATAGATTTCTAAAATTACTGGATACGGTTGCTTCATTCTGATTTGTGCCATTGCTTGTAAATTGATGATTTGTAAAGTTTTATGAACTTGTATATAAATATCGATTCATACATGCAAAATTGTATTCTTTTGATATTTTAACGACATTTTGACAATCTTACAAATAGATACATTTGAAGTTATCTGAAATATCTATACGATTGCGTCGTTGAATTCTATACAGCTGATTCCAATATCTAAGAAGTATATAAGTATTTTTCCAATTTTAATTAAGACGTGATTTAGCTTTACTAAAACTTATTTTAAGGGTTTCGGAACTAAAACTAGCATATCGCCACTCGCTTACGCTACCTCTCCGCCTCAGCTTAAGATAGCTGCATATGCAGCTCCTCAGCAACAATTAGCCTATTCGCCACAACCAGCAGGCCCTCAGCAGTATGCAGGCCAAATATTTACGAAGGTAATAGCAATCAGAAATCAAGAAAATACAAGTTAAAACATTCAGATTTAAATGCAATAACGTAATATATGAGTATGAAAATAGTAGTAACATAATAGTCCAGTCATCTGGTGCAAAAAAAGGCTGTTCCCGGTACAGTACTCCGGGAATTCTGAAAATTGGTAATCTTATGGATTTCGAGGTGCTTTTTACGAAAATCAACTTTTCCACCTCAAATTTGAACGGCAAGTTGCCGTCATATTGGAAAAATGGCGTCAAAAAACAGCTTTTTTAAAATATCTCCTTTCTGGCTGATTCTACAGTAAAAGTATCTATGTACGAATGAAGCTAGATAAAATTTCCTACAATTCTTTAGAAAACCGTTTTTTCGTAAAATTGATAGTTTGAGTTTGAGAGTACGGCCGCCTCAAAGTATTTGCTGCTCTCGCCGTAGTATCAAATCTCTCCTTATATGACAGCACTTTGAACTTGACCACATTCTCTCTAATAAATAAATATTTTCAATGTTAAATTAAGCGAATGAGATCTTGAAATAAAATAATTCAAACATTTTTCTGTTTTTTAGCTGATTTTTTAACACTTCAATGGCAAATTAGCTATAAGTAAGGAGCATGAATTGTTAAAAAATCAGCAAAAAAAAACAGAAAAATATTTGAATAATTTTATTTCTAGATCTTATTCGCTTAATTTAACATTGAAAATATTTATTTATTAGAAAGAATGTGGTCAAGTTCAAAGTGCTGTCATATATGGAGAGATTTAATACTACGGCGAGAGCAGCAAAGACTTTGAGGCGGCCGTACTGTCAAACTATCAATTTTACAAAAGAAACGGTTTTCTAAAGAATTATAGGAAATTTTATCTAGTTTAATTCGTAAAATAATACTTTTATCGTAGAATAAGCCAAAAAGGAGATATTTTAAAAAAGCTGTTTTTTGACGCCATTTTTCCAATATGGCGGCAGCTTGCCGTTCAAGTTTGTGGTGGCAAAGTTGATTTTCGTAAAGAGCACCTCGAAATCTATAAGATTACCATTTTTTCAGAATTCACGGAGTACTGTACCGGCAAAACGACCAAATGACTGAACTATAATATCATCATTTTGATCATGAATCATAAATAGTTAGCTCTGTTATCAGAACGCGTCACAAATCTAAACATTTTGAATCCAATTTCTAAAGATTTGTAAGGCTTTGGGCAAATATAATAATACTAAACTGGATGCTTTTATATACTTATAGCATAAATGCGCATTATTTGAACATCTTTGGATTTGGGTATAATGAAAAATTACTAATAAAAACTAATAATTACTAATTATAAAAGCATTGTGTATTTATTTGATTCATAACTTTTATGATTTATTTTATGAACTACCCGAATTGTACATACGCATGTGCTCTGGTACTGGTTTATCAGTTGTTAAATTTACATTATATGCATTAAATTATTATTTTCAAACAAATAATAATGATTAATATTTAATTATTACACAAGTCATTTCATTTTACGTTAAAATTTGTTTGCAACATCAATTAATAATTTTACAAGCATTAGTATGTGTGTTTCATAGTAATATTCAAAGCATGCACCGTTAACTTACCGTTGTATAGAAATATAATCATTGAATAAACTTCTCCAAAGGTAAATCTGATTCCTGCAATCGATCTGGGAAAATTGGGGTATGGAGGCCAACAAGGTTACATCGGCCAAGCATTCCCCGTGCAATCTCAGGGTCACCCAGGTTACGCTTTGGCATCACAGCATCAAGCATACGCCGTGGCACCTCAGGCATATGCGCCTCAAGGATATGCTTTGCCTCAGGTAAATCATTTTCCCATAAGATTTTATTTGACACCTCAGTTATTTATTTATTGTATTTCTGTAACTGCAAAATCTTTCAACAAAAATTATAAAACATTTGGCAAAGGGTATGGGCGTGTTTCCATACAGAATTGGCCCCACCCTGGTATTTAAATTATTTAGATGCCTTTTTATAGGTATTTTCGAAAAAATTCGATATACCAAATTTTGGCCGAGATATCAGTGAAAATATGTGAAAGTGGCCCCTTTTTTCAAACTCGCTTTTTATTGGTATTATAAAAGATATCGAAATAAAATTAACGTGGTTCTATTCGCATTGGTCTTGACTATATTATTTATAATGAATAATGTTAAAAAATTGTTATTTACTGGATGAAAAGTTGGAAATAAGTTTTTATTTGAAATTTTCGACCAGTACGGTTAATTTGACTACTTTCTAAATAGCATCATTTTAAAGCCTGTATATTTTACTTTTATTATCCAAAATTATATTTAAATCGAAGTGGAACTTTTTATAAAAAGTTGAAAAAACCGAAGGTAGTACACGCGGAACCCGTAGAATATCCATGTAAGTAAATGACAATTTTTTAACATTATTCATTATAAATAATATAGTCAAGACCAATGCGAATAGAACAACGTTAATTTTATTTCGATATCTTTTATAATACCGACAAAAAGCGAGTTTGAAAAAAGAGGCCACTTTCACATGTTTTCACTGATATCTCGGCCAAATGATGAGCTACGGATTTGAAATTTGGTATATCGAATTTTCTCGAAAATACCTATAAAATGGCATCAAAATAATTTAAATACCAGGGTGGGGCCAATTCTGTATGGAAACACGCCCATACCCTTTATACAAAATAAAATGATATGTATTTATAGGGATATGCATCACCTCAACAAGGTTACAGTCACGCGGGCCCTGCTGCTGCCCAACATGGATATCAGCAGCAATACTTGATTGCACAAGCCGCTCAAGGTGCTTATAGCGCACCAGCCCTGGCAGCTTTAGGCAAAGGTGCTGGTGGACCGGCTGGGCAATACTATGCGGCTTCGCCCGTATCTCTCGCTAGACCTGGTCCAGTTGGCCAGTATTATGCCACACCCATAGCAATTGCCAAAGGAGCGAGTCCAATCGGACAGTACTACGCGCCCGCTCCGGTAGCGTTAGCTAAAGCTGCTCCAGCAGCGCAGTATTATGCATCAGCTGGAGGTTACGACACGACACATGCGGGTATTGGTGCTAAGTTGGGAGGATATTCACAGCCGGCCTTGATCCAAACGGTATATATCCTCGTTTATGAAATTTGTACAAGATCATATCCCAATTTGAAAAAAAAATCCATGAGATAACACGAAATTTTCAACTAGGCCTATCCGCAACAAGCAGCAACTAAAGCCATATCAGTTGGCGGTGCTTCTGGACATGGGCAAGGTGCTGTGTCGTATGCCAGCTTTTCTCAAGGATTAGGATCTTCTGGGCATAGAGGTGGACCAGCCGCACCTCAATTTCAATACTCACAAGGAATTGCAGGCGCAGGCGCATCAAAAGTAATATTATTATTTAAATTTTTAATATAATGAATTCCAAGACGTATTTAAAAATAACGTTTCCAACAATATTTTTATTCCTTTTTGTATATTTGCGTATTTTGACATCCAGATATTATGAAAATAACAAAAAATTGAATAGGTCGCATATATACCACAAGTGGCATTTTCACAAGCACCAGCCGCTGGCTACTCAGGTCAACAGGCGTCAGCATACTCCCATCCGCCAGCAGGAGGAGCTTATACCCTGTTTTCATCTCCACAAGGACATATTTACGCAATGCCCAGAGGCTCACAGGTAATATTAAAGAAATATTTTCAATTTTGATTCACTTAAAAAAAAGTTCGCCAGTTATATTTCAAATAATCGGATAAATATTGACATGGTATAGATTTCATAAAATCTTAGTATCACATTGTCAACCCACAGTCACTTTATGATTATATTTATAAATATATATTAACTAGCAAACCCGACGAACTCCGTTTCGCCACCAGATGGTTTCGTGAAAAAGATGAAGAAATATTTTTGTTTGTTTTATATTTGAAAAGAAAAAAATTTGATTTTATTATACAACAGTAATGAATTTATTTCGATTACAAAAATGAAGTGTTTTTTAGTTGAACTTCTCTAAGTAAATGAAACTGAATCCGCAAATTATCCGTTTCACTGAAGTGCTCTTTGGTAAACCACATTTTTTGTTTTTTGGTCTGACGTTAACACAAACAAAGCGGATGGTTTTCCAACTCGTGAACAGGCAACGTATAACTGCCCATGTGAAAAACAATGATTTTCTAAATAATCTATTTGAAATTTATCCCGCAAACACTGGCCAACTGGAAATTGCAATTGCAATTTTCAGTTGGCCTTGCGTTCGCAATAACAAGTCGTTTGAAGTCAAACGGAAGACCAATCAGAATCATTGGTATGTCACCAAATCGCCGGCAAGTTTTGATTGAATGGTGAAATTCAGTGCGTGTACATCATTATTCTTTGCGGCAAGAATTGATCGTTGACTTAACCAAGCATAATTCTGATAATTCTCACTAATGTCATTACTCGAATTTTTAAGTACGGTGCGTGAAGTTCCAGCAATTTGCATTAGGGCACGATGCCATTCACCACTAATTTTCTTAGCTATAAACCTTGCGGAGCCCGAGACCTTTCCAACGAATGCAAAATTGTCGAAATCGGTTCGTGCGTTTTGGAGTTATTTCGTCAGGAAGGAAAAACCGACCTATTTTTATATATATAGAAGATAATAAGTATAATATTATATACTTAAATAAACTATTAATTTTACCATCATTCATAATGTTTTATGAACATTACATAAATTTTCAAATTACCTATATTCGGATTACTTTCACTGATAAGACTGCATCCATAGTGTACATCAGGAATAAATAAAATGAATGTTATTTTCGCAGGTATACGCCGCATATGACAATCACGCAGCGGCCTCGCCACCTCAACAAATTTATGCTGCCGCACCACAACAAGCTATTTACAGCGGAGCACCACAAAGCTCACATATAGCAGGGTATTTAGCAGGCACTGCTGGTAAATTTTCTGCTGGAGCAGCATATCATCCACAACCAGCTGCCACCACGCATGCTTATGCAGCAGTACCTGCTACTTATGCTGCAGCACCGGCAGGCTACGCAGCAGCGCCTCAGCAGAGCTACGCGGCTTCTCCGCAAATAGGATACGCTAAATTAGGATATGGACATCAATAATAATATAATAAAACTATTGCCATTCATTATATATTTCAAATTGTCATTGATGGAAAATGCTACCATTCGTCAATATGCCAACAATTACAGTAACATTTCAAGGCAGTTTTGCCACTTTATGGTGTCAATTACTTTGATGTAAGAACGTTGAATAAAAAAATATTTAATAAAAGTTATTGGCATATTATGTTAGTTGGTTCAAAAAAATAAAGATTACCGACAAATAGATTACGCTTTTTAACAGCCTAAATTGTGTTGGGCCTAATTTATATATGACTATATACTAGTTGGAAAAGCTCATATACTGGATTTATTAGTTGTAAATTAATCCATTTATATGTCATGCATAATATTTGTATGTAGAGCACCAACTTTTTCCAATTAAGTAAAGATTAGTAAGATATTCAATTTCATTATTCATACTTCCGCAAACAATTAGCAATCATTAACAATTATTGTAAAAAACACCGAGTGTTATTAGATTTAAATATATTTAAATTTAAAAATTATTTGAAATTTAGAAAAAAAACTTAGAAATCATTGACGGATATTTAAGGTAATAAAATGCACACACATCAGACTTTGGCATGTTATGTTGAATATAATATTTCCTGCTAAAATCTGCAATGTGGCATTAACTTCAATCTTATTTAATTAATAAAATTAAATTATATATGCAGATTGTATGTTTATATGCAGTTAAGACATATGTTTAAATCAGATATATATATATATATATATATATATATATATATATATATATATATATATATATATATATATATATATATATATATATATATATATATATAGAAGCCAAAATATATTTGGTTCAATGTTTCAACCCAAACGCATAAAGATATCATCTAATTATTTATACAAATAGAAAATGGATGAGGTTTTTCACTTTTTTTCATAAAACTAGTATATTAAATCTGCAAAACAAATTATAATTCAAAATGATTAGATTAGAATACAACATCTATAACAATCCTTTCTGTTATTGTATTAATATTCTAATCAATGTCAACAATATTATATTAAAGGATTATTATTTAAATGAAGTGTATCACATAATAATGTATTATGCAATAAATAGATACATCCAAATTTGTTCGATGCAGTAATTTTTAATGTAGATAAATCAAAATAAAATTAATATACATTATCTGCATATATATTGCCATCACATTTTACTATTTATATGAGTAATACATGCATACCATCACATTTTCCATGATTATATGTAAAATCAAGTATAAAATCAAATATATATATATATATATATATATATATATATATATATATATATATATATATATATATATATATACATTTTAAATAAAAACTTAAAAACATACCAGAATCACAGCTTTTCATATAAATTGTTGTAGGTAATATAAACCCAGTTGCATTTATCATTTTTTTATTTTATACTATATTAATTCCATTTTTTTATCAAAAAAAAACTTACTACAAATATATTTAATATGTAAATTCATATGTTTCTATGCATGTTCTTTCACAACAGAAGGGTTTGCAGGTGGTGATTCAACAATTTTTTCAGCCATTTCAGCATATTTTTTAGATCGATATTCTTTTCGTGCTTCATCAAGTAAAACATTATGCAGTAAATTTCTGTTGCCTGTATATTTCTGAGATAGAGGTGGAAATGGATTTCCTCTAAGTTCCAAAACAGATCTAGTATAGTGTCGGCCAGGATATTCTCTAGGAGCTTGATATAACTTTGTATATGATATATTATAATTTTCAAATCTTGGAACTAGTACTTTGAATAACTTATGTACAAATTGTTTTTCTAAAATCCAAAAATCAGCCATTTCCATTGTTTCTTTATGAGTGTCACCATGACGAATAGCATCCGATATAAGCTGAAAATCAACTTTGTAATTATTTGATAATAAAAAAAACTACTTTTTACTACTTACTCGTTCAGCATAGCCTCTAGCTTCATCGGCCCTATTGTAGTTCAATTCAATTCTTTCATATTTTATCAAAGCCGTTACGGTTTTTTGCAATTTCCTCAACCTCCCTTCAGGACCATCAATATTTTTTAATTTTCTAACATGGGGGTTAACGGGGATTCGTAATCTAGACACTAGTTTTGTAACTTCTGCTTGATTCATTTTTTATAATAACTTAAGGAAAACTTGACATTTACAGTAGTTAGTTATACATAACCTTTTAAGTTCCATGCGCCATTAGAAATATACTAATTGAATACAAAAGATGTCAGCTATAGTTCGGTTGTAATTCTCTCTAGAGAATATGGTTCTAGTCATAGATAAATAAGCCAGTCTAGGACCATTCTAGAACTTTTCGAAATTAATTTAAAATTTAAAACACTTTTTGTATGAATAAACTTAGAGAGTGCCCCAGAGTCCTTCAAAAATAGAGCATTTTATCCAGAGCATAGATAAACAAGCATCCAGAGATTGGGTTCAAAAGTAACCTTCTTAAATGCAACAATTTCATTTAATTTGAAACTGAATTATCTTCATATTATCTTTCCAACCCTACCACAGTCTCTTGATCTAAATTCAGTATCTCCTTTTCAATTATTAACACTCTAGTCTTCTAATCTATTGATATATTTATTCAGATAAAAATCTCTTCGCTTCTAATATCAGATTTAGGTATCCTATAGACAAAGTTGGGCTCTGCAAGAATTAAAACATGAGCTTTAAAAAGCCAGTATAATTATTTTTACAGAGTTTCAAATGGCAAAAAAAAATAAACAAGATAAAAATTTATAAATTAAAAATTACTTTATATACCCATACCTTCAGTAACAATATATAAAGAAAACTGAATTAATCCATACCACAAAAAAATTGGCTTTGCACATTCTATAAATATATTATATAAACATGATTTATATGATTTAAAAATATCCTATATATTTCATATATGTTAAAAATATTATTTAAGGCTAATTTAAACAAATTTTTAATAATATAATCAGATATTAATTTCATTTAATTTTAAATAAAAATTATGTTAAAAATATTATTTAATGCTAATTTAAACAAATTTTTAATAATATAATCAGATATTAATTTCATGTAATTTTCAAATCAAAATCATAAGAATGAGGCATAAATTCTTCTCATAAATCTCATTCCTGTAATTCATTGCCATTACTTATATTTTCTTTATCATTACTTAAAGGACTAGCACAGGTAGATTCCCGACTTTCTTGGGTTTGGTCAACTTCAACCATGCCCATTTCAATATTTGCTAAAGCTTGTTTCAGATATTTACATGCTACTTTATTACTTATTGTTGCCAATAATTGTGATATGCATGATGTCAGATCCAATTTCAACTGCCCTTCTGCTTTAATATTGCACAGAGATAAGGCTTTTGATAAATCCTGTCAATGGTATAAACAATATTATATTATAAGTGGATTCACATGTACATATATATAATAATTACTAAATTAAATAATGTATTTAATGCTTTAATTAATATAAAATATTGTTCTTACATAATAGTTTTTTACATACCAATTCCAGTTCTTCATTTTTGCGAATACGCTTTAAACCATCACAAAGTATTAGAGCAAGTTGGTTATGTATACATTCATCATTGTCTCTATTCGAATGTGTTAGAGCTATTACAAGCTTTAACATATTAAAACACTCAATATGTTTCAGAGGACTTGAAGAAGGTGCCTCATACCAAATCATTAGAGCGGGCATGAGTGCATTAATTAAAGCATCAGGGCCACCAGCATCACCATAACCCATAACAGAAAATAACTAATAAAAAAAAAAAAAAATTAGGTAATTACTATTGTATAATATAAAATTAACAATCAAAAATTTTAATTCCGTCTAAAAGAAGTTTATATTTACATGAGAAAATTACTAAAATATGCTAATTTGTGCTAATATCTTAATATTGCAAATTAACAAATGTGCTAATATTAAGAATTCTTTCCATAATATTTGAACTATTTGTTAAAAACTAAATAGTTATTTTGCCTTAAGCAAATTCTAAACTCCCAACATGTGTATTAGTATATGGTCATATCAATTTTAAAATCTGATAAATAATCAATTATTTTAATAATTGAAACTTAATACATTTCCTTTAATACATAATATAAGATAATGTTATTTGTTTACTCATTGAATGAAATATACTCACCAAAACTATATGTTGTCTAATATCATTATTTTCATACAAGTCCATTTCTGGATGGTGATACATCAACAGAAGATGAGCAACTATTTTATCAGATTTTATTTTATTGTTCAAGAACAATTTAATCAAGCCTTGAACCACTATAAGACGGGTAGAATGCACTTCACATTCTTGTAATAATTTCATAATAATCTAAAAAAAATTATAGCATTTTACAATATAAAGCAATATTAATATATAATAAAGTTTTCAATTTTATTTTAAAAAGAAGCTTGGAGTATTATTGATAATGTATATACTCATAAGATAATGAAAATAATAAAATATAGAAAAAATATATCTTACATCTATAAATGCTGCAGAAATGGATATGCCTAATGTAGCATTTAGATTAGCTCCAGGTTGAGAACATGTCTTATCCACAATACTTCCTTCTCCTTCTCCTTCCTATATAAAAATATGGATTTATACTTCACAACAATTTAAAAATAAAAAAAAACTTCATTATTATAGTATTTGATCAGTCATACAATATGCATGTAAAAGTAAATGTATTTGATAAAAATATATGTAAGCTGTTATGTAAGTGATTATTAATTTCAGCTTTGTTTAATAATAGCATAGTTCAATAGACAGCTTATCCCTATTGTTTTCATATAAAACTTATATAGCTTATAAATAAATAAATATAAAAAACAATTTACTTGTTCTTCCTGGTCCATTAGAAATAATCTGCGCCCCCGACGTGAACTTAGATTGGTCCCTTGATTACTATCTTCATTATTGTCTTGGACTTCAAAACTTTCGACAGAATGTGCAAGAATCATATCAAAGACGATTTTTAATGCCACATCTGGTATAGAATGGGGATCATTAACAGTCACTGCTGTAGCCGCACTAATAGCATCAGTATAGCTTGACATTTGATGTGTGGGTATCATTGGCGCATCCGCAAACATTTTTGTAAAGAATACTGGGAAACAGGTCCTAGCTAAGTTCAAATCGTGAATACAATAAGCTCCTGCACAACACATTGCCCAATATTCAACCTATAAGATTCAATAAGAATTGTACCATATAGAATTAACAAACGTTTTAATAAATCAATAATTCAATAATTTTATATATATATATATATATATATATATATATATATTATATTTATAGTTTATTAACATGCTACATGTTCAAAATTCTTCAAATTAAAGGTGTAAAAAATATGAGACTCAAAAACATTATTCTCGAAGGAAACAACAATGTAGATCAAATATTAATTTTTTAGATATATTACCTCTGAATCATTAGATGATAAATTTGGTTGAACAACATCTTGGAACAGAATGTTCATTTCTGGTGTAGGTTTATAATCACCTAAACTCAACATACTATAAAATATCATTAATATTTTTGTTAAATCTTCCGGATTATCAGTTGTAATTCTTTCTGGTTCATCAACATGGCAATCTTCTAATTGAGCCATTATTATCGTACCTAGAAAAAAGAATACTCATATATATATATATATATATATATATATATATATATATATATATATATATATGCATATATTACGTGGACAACTAACTAAATGTGGCTTTCTTTCTTATTTGGCTTTAATTAAATTTTAAAGTTTGATAATTTTATAATTTAATTTTTTTGTAAACTCATAATATTTAAGGATTTAAATTTTTTATTAAAACAGTCAAACAAAATATTAACAAATAATAACCAACTGACTACCTATCCATCAGTGTTTGAATTTTTATGATGGGTTCAGGAGTTTTGATTAAATTTTGGTCTCAAAAGATACAGAAAGACTTGAAACGTCAATGAAAAAATTAGCAAATTCTACCTGCGTGTAACTCATCCAACTGTTTCCTTACTACTGCCAATTTATCATCACATTCTTTAGCTTTCATGTAATTTTTCTCATTTAGGGCTTCTTCTCTACATGTTTCCAATTCAATTATCTCAATTTTTAAATTAGCTTTCTTCACATCAATTTCATGAGATTTTTCCACTGATGGTGCTTGTTGCTTCATTGAAAAGTAGTACATCATTAATGAAAAGGTAATAAATATAATTGTTAATCTATATACATGTATAATATATATATATATATATATATATATATATATATATATATATTAAAAGTTATTTGAGTATCATAAAAAATATATAATTAAATAAAACTAAATTAAGTAACAAACAGAAATATGTAAATGATATTTTTCATGCCTTCAGCATATATCATATTTGTCACAAGAAGTAAAACACTTTTGTTATTTGTATCAGATTTTTATGAAGCTCAGAATGATGATACATTTGTGTGGTATAATGGTATATAATGTATAACATTATAAATGGTTAACTAATAATATTTATAATACCATACAAAATATGCAATTTTTTATGGGAATCATTTTGAGCACCAAATTCTATCACCAAGTTTCATCAAAATTTAAGATAGACAAGGAAGGGTTTTTTTGTAAATTGAATTCAAGAATTTTTCATGATTACCTTGGCTGGAACTTCAGAGTTAACAGGTACTTCATAGATGTCGTTAATCACATTTAACAATTCAGTATGCCATCCCATAAAACTCAAACAAGTTTTATGTAAAATTTTGATAATTATTTTATAATGATCTTCAATCATGTTTTTGGCATGAAGAGCATTGTGCAGTAAATAATTATTTAATTTGTGTCTTCCGACTTCATCTCCCAAGCAATCATGTAATTCAATCATTCTTAGAAATTCCAATTTACCACTAAAATTAAAATAATTCGACTGTGGGTAATTATTATTATAAATAACTAATCAATATAAAGCTTAATCTAAAAACTAAAAAGAAAACCGGTGATTAAGATAAATAATATAAAGAAGATATTATGAATATAAATTCTTCAAATTGTTCAACTTACACATTATAGTCTAGCTGATCAAGTTTCTGCTCATTCGTAGGATTTTGTGCAGCCATAGTAGGTTCCCAATACTCATCGTAACTACAAATAAGATCAACAAGATCTGTTAAGGTTGGTAAAATTAGATCCACGTCTGCGCCAATTTCAGAACCATTTGATATAAGATATTGAACAAAGCTGCGCCAATATATCAATCTTTGAGGTGACAGCTTCTCAAGTGGTAAAATTCTGCAAAATTCGTAGAGAATTAGTCACATTTATCAAACAGAAGATTAACATTTATAAAACAAGCTTAGGCTTTTTTCATGTACATTTTTTGGGCAATATCAAAAAATAATTTGAAATTAATTGTTATGAATAATGTCATGAAAGCATGTCATGATATATAATATTAAACAACATATAATATATATTTAAACATACCTCTTCTCATCGTCCAAGTTTAAATCATTATATAATTCTTGCAATGGTAAAAGTTTAAATAAAACATTTAAAACGTTTTCTATCACAATATCATTCTCTTGTTTTTTCTTATCTGTTGTATCATGTCTAATAGTATCGATAAGATATACAACAGATTTATCAGACTGATTGAGCCAAGATGGTAATAGTGTTTTTTCAATAAAATTTTTTATTTTATCAGAAGAATCTTGAAAACCTCTAAAAATAAAATTGACTTGTAAATTCTAAGTAGGTGCTAACAACTTAAAAACAATTCCAAGTGTGCACAATTTCATACATGAAAAGTAGCTTGTGCCTTTGGGCCAATTTAATAGATTTTAAAGGCATTTGAAGGATCCTTTCAAACGCAAGCATACGGACCCCTTCGTCAACATCCATTATTCGTGAAATTATTGCTTCTCTAGTGAATTGAGAATAACCTATGTAATAAATAAAAATATACACTAGATAAACCATAGTTTTTATCACCTAAAACAATATCTTAAACTTTGTGTTAGAAACACTTCAAATGAAGTTCAGCATACTAAAAATTGATGAAAACTTAATAAAAAAAATTTGAACAAAAAGAAAATTATATAAAACTTTTATAAAAATTATATTATATAGTAAAATATAAGAACATAGTTATATTTATGTTAAGTATTAACAACTTATGTTCAATATTGTACAGTAAAAATAAAAATATAAAGAAAAATACTTATGGAATAGAAAATAAAAATAGGATTGAAGTTATAATAGGTTCATGCATCTTTGACTTGTGCTAAAAATATTAACAAAAACATACCAATATTTTCTAAGACAGCTTTCCTAACAACAACCGAAGGATCACTTTTTAAATGATATTTGTATGTTTTGCATATTAAATCATCTTGACTTTGTGGATTTTGTAATCGTTTGCCAGTGTAAATTGCTTCTGCTCGTATCTTAAAAAAAAAAAAAAACTATTGGTTAAATATAAATTACCTCTCAATAAATTAACACAACATTTTCTTTTATAATATATTTTCTAATTTTATTTCAAACCACAGTGTCCTAAATAGCCACTTTCAATGGGATATTGTTCATCTATATTTTTAAGTATTAGTTTAGTTTCCAAAATATAAACTTTATAATAAAATATGTTACTAATATGAAAAATAAATACAATTTCACTCACTTTGCTCTTAACATCCTGAGCACGTTCTAAAACACATTTAGTTAAGCCATCAAACATATCGTCATCTATAGATCTATCACCCATATTATTTAATATTATATTAATAAATTGTAAGGATAGTTTTCTTGTATCACTATTATCTGCACATGATATTTCCATAAGGAATCGAAGCATGTTTTTCATTAACCCATGCATTTCGGCTTCTTTTCCAAAGGTAGTATGAAACATTGTTTGATGTTCTTTCTCTATATTATTCAAAAATAATGCTATAAACTCCATAAAACAAGTCACCTAAAACAACAAAATTACAAATTGATTGCAACTCTAAAGACTTAATAAATGATAAACATAGAAAGCATTATAAAAACCTGTGGCATATCATCTCCGAGAGCAATGTGCTTTTTAGTTAAAATAACTAATATGTCGTATAGACGGTCTTCAGCCGTTTTGCTTGCAATTTTTTGGGCTTCTGCGAGATATTTATGATGTGTCGTGTTTGACTTTGAAGCTTCCAGCACAATAGTACTGAAAGCTAAATAAGTCTTATCCTTTAGTAATGTTGTTTGTTTCTTAGCAGGTCTTCTAGAGCGCTTCATGTTGTTATTTTTCACGATATTAAATTTTATATAAAATAATTATAATTGCTGTCAATTATTGTTTTTAATCGGGTAGAATAACGAATATTTCGAATTGACGTTAAACTGACACAATAAATTCTGTAGTTAGCATCGCTAAACAAATAATCTCTGCGTCTAACAGGTTAAATCGAAAAATACTGCACGAATCTTAACTTGCAAACTAAGAAAATGAATTGCAAAATTTGAACTCAAATGTAAATGTCTATTTAAACAATCAAACTATTGTATTGACGCACAACAAAACAATAACGCGTTCCCGGCGTCTAATGAAATATATCGAGTTTCGGTCTACAGGCGATCAACTGGCGCCAGCATAGATAAATAAACATGGCGCTAGTGAGTCAGAATTCAACCATAGATAAAAAAGAGTAAGTGGATTCAACGTTTATGACAACAAAAAGCAAAATTCCAATCGCAAATATTAGTTTGAATAGAATAAATAAAATAGTAATCACTTATCAACTTATCTATTGTGGTAATTGATAGAGTAAATCATGTGTGATTTACATTTAAAAGGATGATAGCATTTGTTTGTAACTTCATATTTCGATTTTATTTTAAAAATATTTTTTTTTAAATATTTTTATTTATTGCAATATTTATATGTATATAATGTTTGTTATTTTTGTGTCTTGTGATCTTCTTAAATTTAATACTCTCTTAATGGAAAGTTTATAATCAAATAAATATTTTTTTCATTTTAATATTTTTGTCGATGCTGAAAAAGCTTTGTAAACAGCGCGCCACAACGGAAGAAACTTGCTCTAGTTCTCAGAACTTGTCAAACAGGCATATAAAACGTCTATGTCATAGATAAGGAAATGTCTATGTATTATGCATTTGTAGGTAGCATATAGGACTGTAAGTGTCAAATCTTAAGTATAAATTAAATCATTTTTTATATTTTTAAGTTAATGATTTATTTTATTAGTAGTATCGAATTTTGAATTTAAGTTTTCAATAATTAACAAAATCTTTATCTTAATTGTGCAAAAGAAAATAACTTTAAAATGGAGAAACCTCAAAAAATGCCTAAAGTGGCTAAAGTTAAAAATAAAGCTCCAGCAGAAATTCAAATTACTGCTGAACAATTATTGCGAGAAGCTAAAGAACGTGATTTAGAAATATTACCTCCACCACCTAAGCAAAAAATCTCAGATCCAGCAGAACTTCGAGACTACCAGCACAGGAAAAGAAAAACTTTTGAAGATAATATTAGAAAAAATAGGATAGTTATTAGCAACTGGATCAAATATGCACAATGGGAAGAATCGCAGAAAGAAATTCAACGAGCTAGATCTATTTATGAAAGAGCCCTTGATGTTGATCATAGAAATATTACAATATGGCTAAAATATACAGAAATGGAAATGAGAAACCGCCAAGTAAATCATGCACGAAATTTATGGGATCGAGCCGTAACTATTCTGCCCAGGGCTAATCAGTTCTGGTACAAGTATACTTACATGGAAGAGATGTTGGAAAATGTAGCAGCAGCCAGACAAGTTTTTGATCGATGGATGGAATGGCAGCCAGATGAACAGGCTTGGCAAACTTACATAAATTTTGAGTTACGTTATAAAGAATTAGATAGAGCAAGAGCTATTTATGAAAAATTTGTTATGGTTCATCCAGATGTAAAAAATTGGATAAAGTATGCAAAATTTGAAGAGTCTCATGGTTTTATAAATGGAGCCCGTTCAGTGTATGAAAGAGCTGTAGAATTCTACGGTGAGGAATATCTTGAGGAAAAGTTATTTATTGCATTTGCAAGATTTGAAGAGAATCAGAAAGAGCATGATAGAGCTAGAGTTATATATAAGTATGCATTAGATAACATTCCAAAAGAAAATACAAAAGAGTTATACAAGGCTTACACAATTCATGAGAAAAAGTTTGGTGACCGAAGTGGTATAGAGGATGTTATTGTAAGTAAACGTAAGTTTCAGTATGAGCAAGAAGTTCAAGAAAATCCAACAAATTATGATGCTTGGTTTGACTATCTGCGTTTAGTAGAAAATGAAGGCAATATTGAAGTAATTCGTGAAACTTATGAGAGAGCAATTGCAAATGTTCCCCCAACTAAAGATAAACATTTCTGGAGGAGATACATATATCTATGGATAAATTATGCAGTCTTTGAAGAACTTAATACTTCTGATTTAGAAAGGACTAGACAGATTTATCGAACTTGTCTGGACTTATTGCCTCATAAAACATTCACATTTAGCAAAATTTGGTTGTTATATGCTCAATTTGAAATACGCTGTAAAAATCTCCAACAGGCTAGAAAAACGTTAGGTATGGCCTTAGGCATTTGTCCCAGAGATAAACTTTACAGGGGTTATATAGATTTGGAAATCCAACTTAGAGAATTTGATCGGTGTCGTATATTATATGAGAAATTTTTGGAATTTGGTCCAGAAAATTGTATAACTTGGATGAAATTTGCAGAGCTGGAATGTCTTTTAGGTGACATTGAACGTTCTCGTGCAATATATGAACTGGCTATAAATCAGCCGCGGTTAGATATGCCTGAACTTTTGTGGAAAAGTTATATAGATTTTGAGTTTTCTCAAGGTGAAATTGGAAAAGCCCGATTGTTATATGAGAGATTATTAGAGCGAACAATACATGTGAAAGTATGGATGTCTTATGCTAAGTTTGAAATGAGTAGTGATGATACTGATAATAAATTAGAATTAGCAAGACAAGTATATGAACGAGCAAACAATAGTTTACGAAACGCTAGTGAGAAAGAATCTAGAGTCATGCTTTTAGAAGCCTGGAGAGATTTTGAGAAAGAAAATGGCGATGAAGAAAGTATAAAGAAAGTAAACGAGAAAATGCCTAGAAGAATCAAGAAACGTCAAAAAATCACTTCAGAAACTGGTGCAGATCATGGATGGGAAGAAGTTTTTGATTACATATTCCCTGAAGATGAAACAGTCAGACCAAATTTGAAATTGCTTGCTGCGGCTAAAAATTGGAAAAAAGCACAACTAGAAAAAGAAAAGACAAAAGCTACTGAACCAGAAGAAACAGTGGCACCTTCAAGCGGTACTAGTAATGCTTTAGAATCTGAGAAAATAACATCAGAAAAAGAAACTTCAGATTAAGAGAATAGTTACTTTTATATAAAATAATCATAAATTTCGTAATTGATTGACCGATAAGTCAGTTATCAATTTACTTATTAAACATTTGTCTCAACATCTTCATCTTCAATCAACATCTTCTGGCCTTACTGGTGTAGTTAATGGTATCATTGATTTTTTAGTGATATCTCGTGTACAAGATTTTCTCATGTCTGTTAAAATGAATTATGAATTAGAATACATGTATAATATTTTTTAATAAAATGAATTATACAAGATAAATTACCATATGCATTTTCCTCCGGATCCCCAGAATAATATTCTAAGACAGTACGGTAAACAATGTATCCAAGATTCTTATACATATTTATTGCTACTTCATTACTAACTCGAACAAACAGGTCAACAAAATATGTATTTTTTCTGTAACAAAACAAGTTTGGCATAATTATTGAGGCAGTTGAGAACTACAGACCAATCATCAGCATTTCATATCAAAATATATTGAGTAATATTAAGTTGATACTAAATTTATTCAAAATTTATATAACTTATTTAAAATTAAAATATTTTTTTGATATTACGCCTAGTTTATTGGCTTCAATCAAAACTTGTATTGAATATTTCAGAATCTTCAGTTAAAATTGTGCAATGTTGATGTAGATCACTTCTTCATAAGAATACTTTAAGGATTATGTATATATAGTATATAGTGTTTTATATGAAGCTATATTAGCAAAGACAATAAAAAGAGGAAATGAATTATTGAAAAAAAATTGAATTATATTACTATTTGCCCTCATAACATATACCTTTCTGATACATCTTCTAAGAAATTCATTAATTTAGCTGCTAAGCCAAGTCTACGAAAATCTGGGGAAACAGTTAGGGCTGTGACATGTCCATGCCAATTTTCTCCATGACCTTCTGCTTTGCCCATTACTTAAAAAAAGAAACATGTGTATAATATGAAAATTACAAAAAAGGAAATAAAGGCATCAATAATAATATAAAGAACATAGTACTGTTATCTACTTCGCACACTCTAAAGTTAGTTGATACAAATAAATGAGGCATTGTTTATAAGTGTGAAAACTGTATAGTTCAAATTTTACCAAACAAAATTGCTAATAAGTATTTCTTTTCTACTTTTTACAATCTCATACTTAAGTGTGAAGTGAAACATTTTTGATATAGCCATTTTAAATATCTTCAAATGATGAGCAAATGATTGAATAGGTACCAAAATATTCCACAAAAATTTCAATTAGCTCAAAAATAACACCTAAGCTGGTGTGATAATAATGTAGTGAAATGCATTAATTTTAGTTTCTGAGTTTTTTGCACTTCTGATTTTATAACAATTTTTTCCGATTAAATAAACTTAGTTTTCATGACCATACATTCAATTAAAATAATTAGTGTATACTAACTATATCCCATTATTTCTCCGTTTGGGGACTCAGCAACTTGAAAATACTCTGGCCAATGCGCTAGATATTGCATGTAGAATGAAAGTCCATATGTTTCTGTTAGTGGATCTAAATTTCTAAACCAAAATATTATAGCATAATTAAAATTTCATGTTACTATTATAATATCAATAACCTAAAATTAATACTCACACATTATTAAAATTAAACATATCATTGCAAGTAAACGGTCTTAATGTAGTCATATTAATTTTATTGCAAAAGATATCAGAAGGAATTTAATTAACAAAAGTCACGCCTTTAATGAAGTAAAATATTCAGAGAAAAAATAAAACGAGTTACTAATATTTCTACTTCTGTTCCCGAACTGTAGCAAGAAATATTATTTTACATATGTCAACTGTCATTTTATCCCAAACAACAGAAGACATCGGATTTTTAGATATGAAACTCATGTATAAAAGAGTTAAAAGCTGCTGCAGGCCATTTTGGCTGTTTGGATTCAAAATATTAAATAAATAGATTGGTTATATACATAGATATAAATATATATTATACATAAATTACAAAACATACATAAATATTATAAGAGAAATAGCCCTTGCCAGGAACACAAATTCAAAATCATCTGAAATCAAAGAAATTCTAATAAAAATATATAAAATATAGATAGGCCAATCGTTGAGTTTCTTTGTCACAGCTCATTTAAAACAACTTAAAAACAATTATGATTATCTGATTAAACTAAGAAAGAATAATTAGATTATTATTTTATTCTCAAATTGTGTTAAGACTATCCATTGGGGAAAAAATTTACAATTACCCACAGCTGTTTCAATAAATTGTAACTGAAAAATAATGAATATGAATAATGAAATATGAATTAAATAAATTTATATTTAGTAAGAAGCAATGTCTTCATATTTATATGCTATATATAATCACAGATTATTTTTCTAATCAACCTTATGATAAAATAATAAAATATATTAGTTTAAAATAGTCTTACTCTTCGTATAATTGTTAAAAACAATATTATTTATGATTTAAAATTAAAATAAAGTATATCTACATTATTATCATTTAATGTGATTATTCACCATTTTTTGGATATTCAAATGGTTCTCTAGGAAGTTCCAATAATTCAGCTACTGTGGGGCGATCATATGGATTATGAATAAGACATCTTTTTGCTGTCTAAAAATAAAGTGATCACTTTTATTAAATCGATATAAATATAAAATAAATGTATATAATTATTATCATTTGGACCTACTTTTACGAGAATTGAAGGGTATAAGTCTAATTCTTTAAAATCTATTTTACAATCAGGATCTATTATTGCTGCCATTTTCATCATTGGCCTCGTAATGTGGCCAAATGGTGTTTTACCATAAAGTAAAAGATACAGTATGCATCCCAATGACCATACATCAGATTTATACGAAATCTAAAAAATGTATTAAAATAAATAGAATGTTGATTGGAATTTTTTCATCTGCAGTTCCAAAAATCTATATAAATACCTTAATATTGGGCATTTTTCCAGAATTCTGCATATCAACAGAAGATGAATCATGGAGTGCTTCAGGACTCATGTAATTAAAAGTACCAGTTTGTACATGCTTAATAATACTGGTACAATCAGATCCGATAGTAGATGCAATACCAAAATCTATTAATTTTAGGCGATTTCCAACTTTTAAAAAATTTGCTGGTTTTAAATCGGAGTGTATAACACCTTAAAAAAATAAAACATTTCTGTTACATATATATATATATATATATATATATATATATATACAGTTACTAATGCAGATAATGCAATATTAGTAAACATGTAACTTGGGCAACCAACCATTTTTGTGTATAAAATTTACAGCTTCCAGCATTTGCAGCCAGTATTTGACTAACAATACAATAGAAAATATAGGATACTTGTTTGCAACAGTTGATGTTTTGATAATAGTGCTAAAATCTGTCTCTCCACACTCCATTACTACATATAACATATTTTCTTTAGTGACATGAGCATAATGAAACATCTTTATTACTACATCACTGTTTTGTAATCTAGATAATAGTTTAACTTCATTGAGAAACCCTTGTACTAATTGTTGATCACCATTTAGTTTTACTACTTTTATAGCCATTTTGTTTAAAGTTGTTTCTTGGGTAGCTAAATGGACCACACATGAACCACCACTACCCAATTTTTTACCAATAGTGTAAGTAATATTATCAAATGTAATTTTACTAAGCTCACCATTTACATTTTCAACATTACAATTGATATTTGTGCATAAGGACTTATCAGTATTATTGCTTACAACTTCAGGAATTTTAAAATTTATATTATTAAACTCTTCACAAACTTTTTCAACTTCTTTTTCTAATATTGGTTTGAGATTACATTTTGATGATATAGGATCTTCATTGTTCAATTGATATATTCCGGTTACTCCATTATCACTACTACTTTTATTATGTGCTGCATCCTTGAATAGCAAAGACTGTATAAACCCATCATTTTCTTTAATAGATTTAAAGCGTTTTTCATTTCGTGGAATTATTTTTTTACTTGAATAAACTACTTGTGGGGGAGAAAATAATAGCTTTTTAACATCTTTCACGCCTTCGTCTAATCTATTTTTTTTAAGATATGAAGCACTCAAAACTTCATTTTCTTTATTTACATCGTTTTTACCATTAGTCTTGATAATACTACTCTTAACACTTGGTGTACTAAATTCATTAGTTCTATTTATAGAACTCTCAATGAATTCTTTTGTACAGCTATCAGTGATTTTTCTATCAATTTCACTTATATCAAATTTTGATACACGATTTTCAACTTTAGGTGTAAATCTACCACTTTTATTAACAAAATATCCTTGTGTGTATTTTGATTTTAATTGCTCTATAACTTTTTTCGAATCTGCTGCATCGCCGGAATCATCTTCCTGAAAATAATTAGAAACAACATATATTAATTCATTACGGTATCACAGGATAAGATAACAACTTATAGTTTACCTCTTCATCTTCATCTGATAAGTTTAAATCACATCTGCGAACGGGCATCAAGGCACTGAAAAAGATTGTTTACATATTTGACAGCGCTAACAGAATGTTCATAATTTAGAAAATACATACGTTTTTGGACTTGAGGGAATCATGCCAAACGCAATTTAACACTAAAATCCAATGTTTATTAGGCACTTAAAAAACTTTCTGATTAGAAATCTTTAATATTGGATAAATATAATGATAAATTATAAATAATGATAAAAACGAAACAAAACGAACCAAACAATGCCACAGATATATAGAAGAAGATAAAAGATGTCAACTTTTGTTACCAACATAGGCCAGCAAGAAGGAACAGTGCCTGCAACATTATGAATAATATACTAGACAATATAATAATACTGGATAATATATACGAATATATAATGAGCACCATAGATAAATAAGCACAGTTAAATAAACATAATGAGCCTAGACAATATACTAATAATTAGTAAATAAACAACAGAATCCTAGTTATAGTTATAACAATTAGATAAGGTTTTTGAGTAAAGTATGAAAATATATTCTAGTTTTTTTTTTTATATCTTGATAATGTATTTAGATAACAAAATAAGAATAATAATAAAAATTATATAACTTCACGATATACAAAAATGAATTGAAAATAATAATAATAATAATATTAATTTGAACAATCCTTTTCTTAATGATCTATATGTTTGTATTTGGTACAATTTTTACATGTAAATGCATAGGACAAGAAAAAAATGGTTTGTGACAATTTGGAATATAGAAATTTATTTGAACAGAGATAATTTTCGTCCGCTTGGCATTTTTCCATCTTCATTTAATAAAGCCATTGCAATATCACTTAATTCTGGCAATTTTTTAATATCTCCTCTTGCAGCTACAGCAGGTGGAGAACTCAAGAATCTCCTTGCTACCCGTATTATATCTTCAGCTTGAATGTTTTCTATAAATTGAAATATTTATTTATTTATTATTCATAATGTGCCTGCCTATTATATATATATATATATATATATATATATATATATATATATATATACATACATACATACTGGAAAGTAGGAGATTGACATGATGATAGCTTACCTATAGCTTCAATAAAATATTCAGGCCTTTTTCTCATGCCAGTTGCTAGTACTTGTCTACCTATATCTTCAAATACCACAGGACGAGCTTCCAAATTCATCAATAACATTGATTGAAGTTGTGTTTTTGCTCTCTTTTTCATAAATAATAAAATAGCTGGTTAGTAAAATTTAAGAAAACTCATTTCATCTCAAACAAATATTTGTCTAAAATTGCATTTTTATATTATTTTAATATTCATAATGTATTTTAAATATTTTCACAGACCAGTGCAGTTGGTTTTTAAATTTCTTTTAATTATGATATTGAATTTTATAAATCACACTTAAGTTTCTGTGAAAGTTTTTTTTAACTTTCTGTTTTTCTTTTTAAGTTTCTGTTTAAGTTAATTTATTTAAAATTTATTTCCATGCTGTAGATATCTTCAGAATAATTATTAATATTGTTAATTATTACCCTTAGTTCTTGAGCCCCTGGAACTGTAGACATGGCAACTAGTTCTCTGCAGAGCACTTCTGTTACCCCCCGTATATGTGTTGGAGGTGCGCTGGCATGAATGCAGAATAGACCGGTATCAGCATAAGCATGGTTAAATGCTGTTGCACTGTACATCCAGTGATATCTAACAGAGATATAGTCAAAGTTAATGATTTATTGAAAAATTGAAAATTAATTAAACTTATTTTAATTTTTTTAAATAATATACCTGTTTAGCACATTTGTATATAACCTAGTATACATTCCTTTACCAGGTCCCCCAGCACTAAAAGATCCTCCACCACCCATCATCATATTTAAAACACAAGCTGCTATAAAATCAGAGTCCTGATGTGAGCATCCTCTCAATCCTAAAACCACATGAGCCAGTTCTGGTAAACCTTCAGCAGCATACATTGGTATTTCACATGATTCCTAGATTTATGAAATTGTGTAAGTTCCATATTGCAATATAATTTTACTCTGCATCAATAATATAATTTAATGAATATAATATAAATTGTTTGTGTGCATAATACAGTTTGTAAAATAAATTAATCAAAGAAGAAATTACCTTGATAATTCCACCTGTATATTGTGCTGTAGAACTATCAATTTGTAATGATCGTGAAGATTCAATATTTTCTTTGTCCCAAATAGGTTCTGATTCAACAAAGTATTTATTAACCATTTCTACAAGGCTTTCATGTGGTACCTAAAATTTCTTATGAAATAAATATATGATTTGAAATAGTATAATATATTATAACTATTGGTTACCCCAACTCCAGCAACAACCATTCTCTTAGGAGTATGATGATGTTTTAGATATGTTAACAAAACATTTCTATTTAATAATTCCGCATTTTGTTGTGGACATAATTTTGGCAAACCCAATGTGTTATCTCGATATGCAGCCTGCAAAATAATTTTAATAATAAACTTGATATGCAATCCAAAGATAGTTGCTTAATTTTATTTAGCGTTAGTTATTATTATCATACTGCATGAATCATATCCATAAGCTTGACGTCTTGCTCTGGACGCATTGCTAGTGATTCCAATTCAAATAAAACAGCTTGTCTCGCCATGCTGACTTCTGTTGCATCAAGACGAGGTCTCAACACAACTTCTGACAAAACCTGGTACAATAAAAATGTAAAAAATATAGCTTAATTTAAATATTGAAGAATGACATAAATAAAATTATGCTAATTTTGTCCAACATAAAGATTCATGAACAGAAATCACCTACTATTATATTAATATTGGAATACAATATAAAATTACAAAAAATATAATAAGTGTGAATAATCTCAGAACAATTACTTAATAAGTAAGCCTTTACAGTGTTCATAAATAGTTTTCACCTTAGTCACAGCTTCTAATCCACGATTTTCTGCACTGGCTGCATATACAAAGGTATCTCTGGAGCTTTGGCAGTCACAAATTCCTCCATGTTCTTCTAATGCCCGTAAAATGCTGTCTTTATCTGGATATGCTACTGTCGACTGGCAAATAAATAAGATTTGAAATTATTTAACAAAAACCTTACATGAAATAAATACTTACATGAAAAGCTAGTTTCTCCAAGAAATGTGAAACCCCACTTGGATATGCAATTTCATATCTTGGACCAGAATCTATAACAACTGTAAAAATCCAAGATTATATAATGATTTATTAACATTTAATCATTTATCTAAATACATAGTACAGTTTCTATTTTACATAAATATACAACTAAATATTAATTAGGTGCAAGTGGCACATTACCCTTATGCAAATTGCACAAACATCCTGACATGATGAATTAATTGACTTAATTATATATATATATATATATATATATATATATATATATATATATATATATTTAGGTTTAATCATTTCAATCAGAAAAAATATAAAAACAATTATCTTACCTCCAACAGTAAAGAACTGGCCAAATCTATTTTCTGAAGCCACTCGTAAACCATTGCTGAGTGTAGTAACTTTTGTATTATGATGTTCAGGTAATAAAGTAGCATATTGGGGATCTGGAAGACCTGGTAAAGGCACTGTCAAAGGGGGTAAAGGTGTTACAATTTTAGCAGACGGACTATTAACCGTCGAAGCAGCGCCCGGAGTATCATGTAAAGTGGTCTTACAGTAATTGCGTATGCTAAATAGAATAAAACAGCATGAGTACTGTATTAAAGTATTTGAGGTTATATCATAATCTTACCATGACTTTCCCGACAAAAATCTTTTAGCTAAGATTTTTAAGTCCAAATGAAGCGACATATTCAACTAATATTGAAAAATGTTAAAGACAGCATTTACTCGACGGTTTTATTTCATATCACCAATGCAAATTTTTCATTAAAGATTAATATAAAGTATTTTTAATGTGTGATAACTTATAAAACTTCATAATTTAAAACTATTGTCTGCGAAAAAGATTTTCTTATTAGTTCGCTAAATAAATTAAAAACGCTTTATTAAAAACCCATGAAACTTATACCTAACCCACAAATACATACTTAGATCGAAGAGTTGTCAAAACGCGTGGTTCACGATTTCACTAATCAAAAAATAATAGAAACAACAATTCGGTAAAATTAAAATAATCAACTACGAATTACTTTACGTATCTTTATTAGTAATTTACATTCTGTTTTATCTTTTGGAATTTTATATTACAAATTATTAAATTATTAGAAATCCTTGAAAACTTATAGAAATCGATAGATTATATAAATAATAAAAATCAGGTATATGCATATTTCATTTTTATTTGTCATAAAATCAATAGTCCTATAAATTTGCTTATTAATTTATTACAAAAATTTAGGTTTATTCTCTCATTTTCATTTTGTCCTCAAAATAATTCACATAAAATGTACGCAGAAGTGTCTAGTCTGCGCTTCACTGCTACGTTTATATTGCACAGGGCCGCATTTTGCTACAGATTCTGAATTTTACTAATAAACTTCCCGTAGAGTAAGTTATAGTAATCGCAAAATCGAAAATGAAAATTTTATATATCTTCACGTTTCGAAGGTTTCTGAATATTTTGGCATACCTTAGAAAAAATGGATGTGTTTGTGTGTGTGCGGATACAAATTCTCGTCGACGATTTCGAGAACACCGATCAACCGGTTTGAATAATTCAAAAAACATTCGATTCGTATTGATAATGAGCCGTGCTGACTAGTTTTTGGCGAAGGCAGGTCTAGCTGTTCCGAAGATACGGGGTAAAAAGTGCCAAAAACGGTAACTCAGTTTTTGAAAGAACGGAGCGTCCGATTTTAATAATTCAGAAAACATTTTACTTGTCTTGACTAGATGAAGAATTGATCAAATTTTTGGGAGGGCAGGTCCATCGGTTTTGGACTCTCAATAAAAATAAGTTAAAAAATGTCATTTGACGGTCAAAAATGTTTATTGGACATATGTACATCAAATTATTAGATATTTTATAGAGACTTTAATAATGTGTACACTTTTTGTGTAATTTGGGTTCCGTACCAAGATTTTTAATTACGTTACGGGAAGTACCAGCAATTTGCCTTAAGGCATAATACCATGCACCCCACTAGTTTCGTTAATTATTTTATGTTATCAATTTATTTTATGACAATATCATTATATTTTTTTACTTAAAAACAATATTGGCGTTCGGATTACTAATTATATCGCCGGTAAATGATGCCCTAATTGCGAGGCACAAACAGCATTTTCATAAAAAAATGTTCTAAATTCTTGTATATGTTATCAAATTTATAAATTATTGAAAATCCTCTGGACTTCATTCATTACATACATAATTTACACTTACAAAAATATCTGATACAAAAATTTACTATTCACACATAATATTTGAAAAATAAACTAATTACAAATTAAATAAATGATGCCATTCATAAAAAAAATACTGTAATTTTGTATATTTATACCGCTATCTTACCCAGTACCTTTCTTCTTTAGTTAAAGTTTGTTTCACTTTTTCTAAAACTCTTACTGCATTTTTAGTTTCGTTCGCTGTATAGTTACCTCCGTTTTCAAAAAATCTAATAACATAAAAAAATTAGTAACATTAAATAAAAAAAATCTTTGTAGAATACTTCACAAACAATTTTTCTTACTTGAGATTTTTATTGAATTGATTGTTTGAACTCATTAAGGATTTAACACGTCGTAAACAAGATTCCATATACGGAATTCTCTCTGCAGTAGGCAACTTTTTCAGATTTTGCTTCATGGATTTAATGTTAACTGAAACACCCTAATTTAAAAAAATATTAATTATTGAACCGGCAGAACCAATAAATTGTTTAGTTTTTGTTAATTTAGAATTATTTACTTTATTGTGCTCTTTCAAACGAGCTGCATGCAACTTTAATTCGAATTTACGAATCTCAAAATCAGATTCCAAATCTAATTTCAATACTCTCAAATAAGATCTATAGTTATTCGACTGTGTATTAATCTCATCTAAAAGTGGAATTGAAAATTCCTTCGCCCATTTTGTAAGAGTAGCTTTATCTAATGATGTAAATTTCTTGATTGCTGAAAACAACCTAAAAAGTAAAAAATAATAATAAAATAATAAAATAATATTGAATTTGAATTTATTGATAATATTATTAATTCAACTAATATTATCAATATTATTAACATATTTCAAAGAAAACAGTAAACATAAATTTATTTCACATACCCTTGTTTCCAATGGATCATGCAAATAACTTTGTATTGAAAAGCTTTATATTCTGTTGGAAAATCTTCATCAAATTTTGGCTCCTTATTAAACTGTAAAAAGCAGGAAAGTTTTAGAAATGCTCTAACTATATTAATATAAGTTTAGGTATACTCACGCTTTCATGATTTATTAATAAAATTTTTAATTCATCAATTAACTTTTCTACTTCATTGTCGATAAGTTATCATAATATTCGATTAACGACGTCTGCCGATTTAGTTCCTGGACACACCTTTAATATATTATATATAACCTTTTCTCCAACTTATGAAAAATATTGTTATTTTTAATAATATTAATATTTTCACATACAATTTATCTACATTTGCAATGACTTTCCGGGCTTTTTTGTAAGATCTTGTAAGCTTCTTCGGTATACTCTCTTGTCTAATTACAGACAATAATGGCAATAATTTTGTACACCTTGCCTAAAATGGGAAAAATTGTTTTTGCATTAATTAGTATATAATGGTAAACAATTATCTAAAATTTAAGCTAACTGTTAATTTATTATTCAAATGTTTACCTGAAACAGTTTACTAAATGCAGTGGTTTTTTTTTCTAACGCCTTTTCTGTATCAGTTTTCATTGTGGTACTTCTCTCGGCGTAAAGTTTCCATAATGCAAATACATCCTCTAAAAATTCTTTTACTGCATTTAAGCATGTACTTATATTTGTTATATTGACCTGGATTAATATCGGTTTGCATAAATTTTAAAATATTCATTTTGAAAGTTATTTACCTACGTTTTATATTTACTTACTTTGTAAAACAAATGTTTTACAAAACTCTACTATAATAAGTTAAGATTCAAATTATAAATTCTTACAGATTATAAGCAGTAAAGTTGCTAAGTTTCTAAGTAAAAGTTTATTCATAAAATATAATAATAATTATAATGTGCATAGGATTACTTCACTAAAACTGGCGATAAAACTTGCATCCGATAGAGAGCTTCTGTAACAATATTCAGGTTTCAGATTTAATACTTTGAGCATCGGAATTTTGCCTAATTGATGCATTTTAAAAATTTGCGCAATTGAATTTTTTAACACATCAACCATGCTCAAAACATAAATTTCTGCAAAAATAATAATTATTAAATAATATATATTATTTATATATTATTTATTTTTATTTCAGCCTAATGACCTAGAAATACATCATTATACCAATAATACCTTAAACCTACTTTATATACAAAAATAAAAATATACAGAAAAGTCTAATCAGTGGTTTCTAATAACTATAACTCTTTTTTCCTTTGCTTTCTTCATGCTAATTATTAAATAATATATTGGTATATTAATGAGTCGACTTTTATTAGATAATTTATAGGAACTTTTTATAGATACTTTAGGACCTCGATAAAATTAAACACTTTTTAGGTACTGTAAGACCTTGACAAATTTACTGTTTTTAGATACTATAGGACTTTACCGCAATAAACTCTTTCAGATACCTTTAAAAACTTTTAATTTTAAGTACTTGATACACTTTTTAGGTACTTTAGGACCTTTATAAATTTAAACACTTTAGAAACTTTAAAAAAAATTAACGAAATTAAAGAAAGTTATAATAGTTCAAGTTTCGCAAACAATTATCATGTTGAATATACATAAAAATGACATAAAGCTTATAAAATTACCTAAATCATTCATAATTGAATTCCAATCCTTGGTAAGATCCTCTTCTCCTTCTCCTTCATCTGAACAGATAAACCTGAATGAAATAAATAAAATTGAGAATATTTTGTATACTTATTATATAAGTCTTTATAAATTAAAACACCTACAGCTTTCGTTGTGCTTTCAATTTGTCTTGATAGTCCCATTCCCTTTTAATCCGAGCTACCTGTTTCTGATATTCACAGCCGAGTAAAAATATTACATAATGCAACTGATTATACAAATCATTATGGCAGCTTGCATTCGATAAGAGGCTCTGATTTATTTTCTATGATATAAATTAAAGCAACCATCACAAACTATTAACAAGAAATATTTGAAATAATATCATTTATTAATATTACCAGTATCATCATTTCAAATTGTTCTTGAACTTTAAACGGCGTTACGTGGGCAATATCACAAACTTTTTTTGAATATAAACTCAAAATGGCTTTCAGCTTATCGGATCGTTTACGTTCAAAATCATCCAGCGTAACGTAAAATTCATTTAAAGTCGTATTAGCATTACGCAAAGTAACAATTGTTTTTTCCCAAGAACTTTAATGAGAAATAGAAATGTTATTATGATATTTAAAAAAAAATCATCATAAGCGGTAATATTCAATTTTATCGATATGCATACAACTTTCTTGAAGCTCATTTCCGAAAGCATAACAAAAACTTTTATGTTTCTGTTAAAATACAAAGTTGTTTGAAAAAGGACTTCAAATCTGTTTCAATCAGATCAACAATTATCTATCTATTTTATCATTTAAATAATTCATTAAACAATTTTAATTGAATTATTTAAATTGATCTCTGCTAATGGTATCAAGATTTTTATCTTCTAATTTTTTTTATCCTTTAATATTCTCATTAAAACTCGAAATAAATATTTACGACTCAGGTGGGCATTTTGCTTTTGTACAATTTACGTTTTTAAAATTATCTTCTTGAAACTATTGCAATCACCCAGTGACCCAGTAAACACTACATGTTACCGTAATTAAACCTTTGAGTTACAAAGTTATATAACAAATG